TCAATCTTATAAAAAGTTATGAAAATTGCATGGCCTGTGGCGACTACTGTAGTAACAGGCAGCACAACCAGGGCATCAACATCTCTAAAGTCGCGGATTCGAAAGACAGTAAAATATGAAAAACAACAACCCACTTGGATGAGAGTTTGCTTCGCCTGGAGCTCCATGTGCTCCATTGGTCCTGTCGCCTGAAGGACGTCTTCCACTAGTGGCTTCAAGTCTTCCACTCGGCTTGACAGTGTCTCCAGTAGGGTTTCGAAGGCATCCATTTTCTCAATCACAGCCTCATAAAAAGTTACACGTGCCTATAAAAAATGAATTGGTTGGGTAATTTCAAAAATATCGTTACTTTACCTAGAAAAAAACATTGAAAGCTTGCGGTTTCACCAACAGGAGCAGGAGCACAAAGCGGCGAGTTCATGCGACATTTAATCCACCAGAGTTAGTTGTCTGCCCCGGTGGTATTATAGGGTGCCCAGCGCGGTAGTCCGCCTGATAGCTTAACGGGCACATCGAATACCTTACATCAGAAAGGTACGCTGATTCCATCGGTTAAATTTGGTTCCAAGAAGTTGGATGATCATCACGGTGGAAAAACTCTCGGAAACAGAATTGACTAGGACGGCAATCAACATATTCCTACGGATCTGGTGAAGGCGAATGGAAGATCTGACTCATTTACTTAATAAACTGCAGAATTGTCAATGACTGCGATTTTATACCAAGCTCAATACAGCTCTTCTTGACCTAGCCCTGCTGATGGCAACGATTCCTGTGGGAATAGGTAGGTGGGTCAATGCTGGCGCACACACTTTCCTCAATATAATTCGATTTCCGCCTAGACAAACACCGTATCCTCCGGTGTAATTGGCGTCGCGGTAGAGTGCTCGGGATATGCTCCACAGAAACAGCATAACAAATAAACAAAAGAGAGATGAAAAACCCATTCGGAGCAAGACTCGCAAGAAAATAACCAAAACTATGACAGAGCCTTCCACAGTTGGTTGCGCTATGATCACCTCCCAGGACTCTTGGTTAGCAGTCCAGTAAGCCAAATAGAGAGGGAGGGGTTAAAACGTTACAGAACGAACAGGGTTCTGTTCAGGGTCCACATTCATCACTACAACTTCCTTACGGAGTGCACAGCTACTACTTTGTCCTTTGACTCCACTGGAGCCCCAGATTGAATTGAATTATTTTTTCAAGGAAAGGCGTCCTTTGGGAAAATTAGGAAAATGTATTCCTAATTTTCCCATAGGACGCCTTTCCTTGAAATTACATTTCTTGGGATGCCCGCCTTCCAGTTTATACGGACTGAATTA